GGAAAACTTCCCCAGCCTGAGAGGTCCCCTGGAGGTGGTGGGGTCCCCATCACCCGGGTAACCCGAGCAGAGGCCACCACCACCCTGGACCATCTGCCAATTAAATGACCCACTGGTGCTAGTGGCCTTATCTGCCTGGAATTAAAGTTTCTCCTCTGAAATGGCATTGTCATGGAAATGTTCTAGAACTAGATAGAGGTGATGGGTACACAACACTGTGAACGTACTAAATGCCACTGAAATGTATACTTTAAAGTGGTTAAAATGGTGAATTTTACGTTGTATACATTAGACCACATACGAAGAAATAGATGATATCATTGGACGGAATGACCTCCAAGGCTTCTGCCTGCTGTGACTCGTTATGTTTCTGGGAGGGAACACATCGCCTAAGACCGACCACCACATCCCGTTTAGTCAAAGACAGGCCACGGTGACACTCAACTGAGGGGGTAGCTGATTAAATTATGGTTCGGGCTTAATACCGAATATCACACATCCATGAGAAATTCTGCTCATGAAAACACATTTAATGCCATGGGAAGACACTTGTGATGTCACGTAAAGCATAAAAAGAAGGATTTATGCTACGTGTAATGTGATCCTAACTTTACAAATATAGATAAGAAACCAAAACACAGTGGTTTTATCCCTGAGCTGTGGATTACAAACGATTTAGATTCTTTTATACATTTCTCAAAATGTCTACAAAGAGCATGGATGACTATTATAATCTAAAAACACTATTTAAAACACAACATAAGGGGCTCCTGAGTGGCTCACTCGTTAAGCGTCTGCCTTCGGCTCAGGTCGTGATCCCAGGGTCCTGGGATCGAGCCCTGCATCGGGCTCCCTGCTCAGCGGGGAGTCTGCTTCTCCCTCTCCCATTCCCCCTGCTTGTGTTCCCTCTCTCTCTCTGTGTGTCAAATAAATAAATAACATATTTTAAAAAAAACCACAATGTAAATAACAGTACTTTGGATTCTGTGACCCCCACCCCGTGAATCATGCCGTGCTTTCGAGCGATGGAGTGGCAACGGACAAGCTGGAAGGACTGGTTGGAAGGGCGGATTTATAATTCTGGTTCAGCTGTGGCAAACCGCGGGGACTCTCGGTTTCTTCATCTGGAACAGGGGCATGAAAATAACAGTCACTTCACAGGGCTGTGTGAAGAGCGGATGAGGCAATGACGATGGGATGACTGATTGGGAAGAGTTCTGAGCTCTCTTCGTTGGCACTGAGCACATTCAAACTGTACATTTCCAAATCTTGCCTCTAACAAAAACTTAATGAGTGCTTATAAAGTCAGTGATTGCCACTTACCCAGTAATTTAAGAGCTAATCTCCAGTAACACTGCTACTCTTTTCTTAACTGTCTTCCTATAACCTTCATGAGAAAACATTTCATTTTGTCTGAAAAGTAACCACCTGTATTTTATTTACTGTTCTTGAATTCAAGGAGATGATGATACAACCGGCTTAGCTGGAGGGAGATCGCACCCAACCCCACCCGGGAAAGGTGTTTCTCCCCAGGAATCAGGCCTCTCCTGCGTAGGCGAGGCTTTGTTTCCCCAGAACCATCCACACACGGCTGAACTTTACAAAGGGTTTTCCTGGGGCGCCTGGACGGCTCAGTCAGTTGAGCGTCTGACTTCGATTTCTGCTCAGGTCATGATCTCAGGGTCGTGAGATTGAGCTCCACGTAGTCAGGCTCTGCGCTCAGCGGGGAATCTGCTTGGGAGTCTCTCTCTCTCCCTCTCCCTCTCCCCTGACTCTCTCTCTCTCTCTCTCAAATAAATAAATAAATAAATAAATCGTAAAAAGTGGGGGAGGGTTTCCTTTGTGCTGCTCTGGTTCTCTCCTGCCTGTCCTTGCTTTGAGACCCATGCCATGACCCACCTCAGAGGAACTGTGAACAGAATTCACAGGACTTGACTCACACAAGGGGGTTCTCTTCCTTACAGGCTTACTCCTTAACCCAGAATGAAGAGAAGACTATTAGGGCAGGGCTGTCAAGCTTGCTGTTTCTCTATCAAACCTCTTCCCCATTTAGAAGACCTTATGGTATACAAAATATCATAACCTTGGTGTTTTATTTGAGGCCTGCCTTGCCATTAAAAGCAAACTCCCAATTCAACAAGTTCAATGAAACATTTCCCAAGCGCCTAAACGATCCAGGTTGAAATCGAGCTGAATGAGATTTGGAGTTGAATGAGTTAGAGTTGAATGAGGTGTGAGGGAGGGATTGGCATCTAGACAAACGCAGTGCCGCTTGAGCAGAGGAACCAGGGAGCAGGTCTGAGAAACAGGAGTGGGACCTGGAAGAGAGTCATCAGCATGATCAAGGAGACATCTGAGCTGGCTCTGGAAGTGGAACAGAAATGTGCCAGGCAGCCAGGGCCAGGGGAAGGCCTCAAAGGCCAAGGAAAGCAGGTACAAAGATACCAAGGTGGCCCGACTTGGTGACTGATGGCATGCTTGGAAGTGGGAGCACACACAGGGGATGAGGCCATTTAATAAAGAAAAAAGTAGAAATTGGCCTTGGTATTGAGCTCAATACCAGGTGACATGGTTCTAATTTTCCTGGAGTTTGCTGGTTGGGCAGTATTTACTGACCAAGTACAACCTGCTCAGGGTTCTGTCTCAGGAATGGACGCAGGTTATGGATGGAAAGGGTCACACCAGTTCCTAGACCACCTGTGGGCGGCACAGCAGAGGGGAAAGTGAGATGAGCTGCAAGGGCAGAGAGAGGCACCAGCCGTGGAAGAGAGCTGGGTGTCCAGTGGGCACCAAGTCTCTGGTCCAGACCAGACCAATGGGCAGCAGGGTAGGGTGGCAGGGAGTGCCCAAGGCCTTTGAGGGTATAGTGTGTCTAGGGCAGCGATAGGAAATGAGGAGGTTGGAGAAGAAATCGAGAGGGGCCTTGAGTGCCAGAGTGAAGAGTATGAACCTCATTGTAGGCACTCGGGAATCAGTGAAGAGTTGTACTAAGGGGCAGCCAAGCCAGGTTTGCTTTAGAAGAGGTGCCTCAAGGGGTGCCTGGGTGGCTCAGTCAATTGGGCATCCAACTCCTGACTTCAGCTCAGGTTGTAATAACAGGGTCGTGGGATCGAGCCCTGCATCAGGCTCCGTGCTGAGTGCTAAGCGTGGAGCCTGCTTGGGATTCTCTCTCTCCCTCTCCCTCTCCCCCCACCGCTTGCATTCTCTCACTCTCTCTCTAAAAAAAAAATAATAAGTCAATCAGAGAAAGACATGTATCATATGACCTCACTGATATGAGGAATTCTTATTCTCAGGAAACAAACTGAGTGTTGCTGGAGTGGTGGGGGGTGGGAGGGATGGGGTGGCTGGGTGATAGACATTGGGGAGGTTATGTGCTATGGTGAGCGCTGTGAATTGTGCAAGACTGTTGAATCACAGATCTGTACCTCTGAAACAAATAATGCAACATATGTTAAGAAAAAAGAAAAAGAAGAAGATAGCAGGAGGGGAAGAAGGAAGGGGAGTAAGTCGGAGGGGGAGACGAACCATGAGAGACGATGGACTCTGAAAAAAAACTGAGGGTTCTAGAGGGGAGGGGGGTGGGGGGGTGGGTTAGCCCGGTGATGGGTATTAAAGAGGGCACGGTCTGCGTGGAGCACTGGGTGTTATGCACAAACAATGAATCATGGAACACTGCATCAAAAACTAATGATGTAATGTATGGTGATTCACATAACAATAAAAAATTTTAAAAAATAAATAAATAATAAAAAGATTTTAAAAAATAGGGAAAAAAAAGAAGAGGTGCCTCGGTGACAGTGTCTATGGGTCTATGGATGGGAAAGGCTGGAGGCTGTTGATATAGTCTAGGAAAGAGTCAACAAGGCCCAGCAGGAGAGAGCAGAGCTGGTTTCAAGAAATACTGAGGAGGGCGCCCGGGTGGCTCAGTTGGTCGAGCGACTGCCTTCGGCTCAGGTCACGATCCTGGAGTCCCGGGATCGAGTCCCGCATCGGGCTCCCTGCTCGGCGGGGAGTCTGCTTCTCCCTCGGACCCTCTTCCCTCTCGTGCTCTCTATCTCCCATTCTCTCTCTCTCAAATAAATAAATAAAATCTTAAAAAAAAAAAAAAGAAAGAAATACTGAGGAGTTAGGACCAGTGGCAGAGGCAAGGGGGAGAGGAGGACTGGCATCTATCCTGACATTTCCTGCTTAGGTAGTTGGCAGGTGGGGGTGACGTCCAAGGAGATGGGGGAATGTAGATTTGGGGTGAGGGAAATGGGCATTTCGGTCTGGGGTGGCTGCGGGCCGACCTGAAGATGCAACAGGTGGTAGTTGGATATGTGGGCCTGGAGGTGAGAAGAATATTCCAGGCCAGAGGCGGATATGTGATAGTTACGAGCTGTGGAATTTTCTTGAATATCAGAATAATTTCAGGATAAAATATCCAGACTCGGGAATTACAACACTATAATCATATTTTTTGCATATGTTCCAAATAAGAAAATAGTTAAGCCCGAAAACGTAATTATGCCTATTCCTAGAATTGGATAACTGATGTATCTTTGCAAATTGTTCATTGAACTGCGCTTCTGGTTTCTTGCCAGCCCTCAATGAGATTTTTATATTTCTTAATTATTCAATTACTACCCACAAGTAGGAGTTTGAAATCAAACCTAGGCTGCTCCGTAATAGAGTATTCTCTTGACTCATGAGTGCGGTAAAGGAAGATGTCCAGATTGGGGATCCGGGGTGGGAGAACAGAGCAAGTGTAAGCTTCCGGTCCTGGCTCTGTCCTGGGTTCGAGTTCTGGCCTTCCCACACACTGGCTGTGTGAGCTTGGGGAGCTGGCTTCTCTGAGGTCAAGTTTCTGGTCTGCATGATAGAAATGGTGAGAATGCTCACAGCTCCTGAGGTTGCTGTGAATGTAGGGAAAGGAGAATAGGTGAGGGAAGGTGCTCTGCCTACCGTCAAGCCCACTCCAGAGGTTGGTTGTGTCCCTAATTGCTTGTGTTCCCCAGGTCTCAGCAGCTCAAGCAGCCGCTAGCCGCGAAGGAAGATCCTTCTGACAGCGAGCCGGCCAACACCTCCGACAGCAACTGCAATCCTGAAGCCCACCTGCCGTCCATCTGCCTCAAGCAGGTGTTCCCCAAGTACGCCAAGCAGTTCAACTACCTGCGTCTGGTGGACAGAATGGCAAATTTGTTTATCCGGTTCCTGGGAATCAAGGGGACAATGAAGCTGGGGCCAACAGGCTTCCGGACTTTCATAAGGTCAGTGAGACCAGCCCCTCTGGCCTGGGATTCGGGCAGGGTGCAGTGCAGCCCTACATCTGGCTGGTCCCCCGCCCTTGACTGCTCCTGGGAGAGCTTGTCTGTGCTGCTGGGTCAGCGCCCCGACTGGGGTCGGATTGCTCCGGTGGCTGGAACCATCCACTTCTGTTTGCTGAGTGAGTTAACGAATGTGACAGTTGGGACAGCGTTAAAGCGCGATGTGGTGCTGCCTTGAACAAGGTCCTTAAACCACATAGAAATTGCCGTCCCTTGGACTCAGACAGACCTTGTGTCTCTTAAGCTGGGGTGATGTTCTCCCAGCGGTATGTGGCAAAGAAACAAGGCACATCTGTCCCAAGTGTCCATTTCAGGAGAGAAAAGTTAAATAATTCAGTTGATAAATAATTTAATGTATTTGTCCTAATATAAAAATAACATGATTATATCATTGAGTACAATACAAAATTTGCGTGAATTTTGAACATAAGACATGAGATAAAGGAAGTGTGTTTTCGCCACAGCCTACACTATAACCCATGATCATTCGTTCACTTGCCTCTACTCCCCGGGGCACTTTGGGGCGACACAGGAATAAGTATCTGGGGCAATACTTACTAGGTGTGTAACCCCTGGGCAAGTTAGGGAACATCTCTGAGTCTCAGTGATACTATAAAATGGGGAGGAAGCCACCTACACGCCAGGAGTGGGTGTCCCCCACCTCGAAGCTACTATCTGACAGCATTCGATGTCACTGCTGTTTCGCTCATCATTGGTTTTAATATTTCGACCTTTGCACCTAAAGTCACATCCTTCATAGTTTTATTCACTAAAGCAAATAACTCGAAGCCTTAAATCGGAAACATTTTGTCATACACTTTTCTCCAAATGAACTGTATGACTTCTAACTCTGGCTCTCTGATGTTCCTGATGGGATGGTACACAGAAGAATCGGCAGGAATCCTTGCTAATCCCGAGTTAGGACTTGCACGGTGCTTTGGAGAAGGGCTCTGCGTTTGCTTGGGGGGTGGGGGAAGGAAGCCCAGTGGAAAGAGCACAGGTTTTGGGTCTGGCTTCAGAGCCAGGCATGTCACTTAATAGCTGTGTAGCTTTGGGCAAACCCCTCCTCTTCTCCACATCTCAAACCCGTTCCCTTGTCTGTAACATGGGAATAATCTCTCCTGCCTATCAGGGTTATTACGAGGTTGGGATGTAATACATCCTAAAGCACCTGGCCCAGAGCCTACTTGACAGGAGCTATTTGTTAAGTGGGGGGTCTTGTGACTATTATTTCCGTTAAGCAATGGGAATTCTCAAGAAAGTCAACAGACACATGTTATTTCCCTGAGAATACTACCCGATACCTTCTGACTTGTTTGGGAATTGCATCTGACTCGTAGTAATAGATACGCATCTGTAAGTGATTTAAAATAGTGAGATTAATTTTCCCTCATATAATAGGAAGTTTGGCATGGGGGTCCTAGGGGCTTGTTAATGACTCCACAATGTGATCACAGCCCACTTTCTTTCTGTCTTCCTGTTCATCCATCCTAAGCATGGGCTTTTCAAGCTTCAGGGTTGCCTTACAGTCACAAGATAGCTGCTCAAAATCCAGCCATCATGGTCGAGTTCCAGGCAGGAAGAAGGAAGAAGAGAGATGTCAGATGCTTCCTTCTAACTCCTAATAAAATTCTACTGAAACATAAGAGATGGGGGTAGGTGAAGATTTGAAAAAAATAACATACCATAAGAATCACAATCTCAGTTGCCTCCAGGGGTAGGCTGGAAGCAGAAGCCAGCAGGTGGGATCTGGAAGGAAGGCGGCCCAGGGTACGGCGGGCGTGAGAACACATGCCCTGGCTAAAGGAAAGGCTGTGCTGGGGGAGTATCACCAGAGCTTTTGATTTTTCAAGAGAAGCTAGAAATGCTGATTTTTATGTAAAATCCCAATATATGTCTATCGATGTTGGCGATTCAGAAAATAATTTTTTTAAAGATTTTATTTATTTATTCATGAAAGACAGAGAGAGAGAGAGAGAGAGGCGGAGGGAGAAGCAGGCTCCCAAGGAGCAGGGAGCCCGATGCGGAACTCGATCCCAGGACCCTGGGATCATGACCTGAGCTGAAGGCAGACGCTTAACCATCTGAGCCACCCAGGCGCCCCTCAGAAAATAATTTTTAAACACCATATAGGTTCAGTCAAAGTGTGACTACCCATAGAGACCACCAATGTGTAAACGTTGGCGTGAGAGGAGAGGGACATACTAAGAGGACTGCTATGTTCATACCTGATTTTAGAAGAAACAGAATTGAGAATGGTCCTAGCAAAGGGGATTCCTAAAACACTCTCAGACTGGAACTGGATGATGTCAAAAACATCGCTACAAATCTGTCCGTATGTGATAGGCTTTATGATTCTTTCTATCCTTTTTTTTTTTCCTCTATAATTAAGGACATTTGCATGTAAAACAGATTTTTGTGAGGTTCAAGACCCTTAGGTCCTGTAGCCATTCTTCCCAATCTGCCACCAGCACTGTCCGTGGAAGTGATGGTGACCATGGCGACCGCAAGCAAGGAGAACAATGTTTTCAGGTGGGGAGTAGGCGGCCAGAGGAGGACTCGGACGGTGAGCCCCTCTCCCCTCCCTCCACACCCACCCAGCCAACGTCCTGCCTAATTAAGGATGTGGGAAGAAGTGGAGAAAATGTTGCACAACCGCTAATAGATTTTTCCTTTTGAAATATACCGAGAGATTCCCAACAGCAACTTAATCGTAAAAGATGATATTCTCTGAGCTTAGATTTATCTAAGTATGTTCAGTCTTGCCAGCTAAATTTAACAGCAGGCATTTTCTCTTGCTAACAACCATTCTCCCTCTCCTTTCCATTTCGGTTTAAATTTTCCTTCATTATGAATTAATAATATTTATGCCATATGTTAAATCGAGCCAAGTGCCCTTCTCTGGAGCACTGTGCAAGGGACATGTTTGCTGGCTAGATATATACTCCTCTCAGATCTCCCCCACACACGGCAGAAGCTGAACTTGGCTTTCACCTGGACGACGCACTCTTTCTCTCTGAGTTCCTCAAAGAGAACCGAAGGGAACAAAATAAACATCCGACCGAATTTATTTTCAGTGACCATCTCTCATAATGTTCTGCATAGATCAGCAGTTTTAGGAGTGAATTATGCTAATGATAGTCTGGCCACATTCTATTTTTCTTTTCTACCAAGAAATGAGAAATAATGAACTGTCGTTCCCTTGTCTAGACTTAACTCATCGAACCAGCTTTTCGTGTCGTTTCCTCAGGAGGCACATAATAGTAGCACATATTACCATGAATTAAGCGCCTCTTTTCTCTCTCTCTCTCTTTTTATGTCATAATAATTCCTGGGGCGTGGAGACTTCTCTTTCTCTGAGAAATAGAAATTATCTGATTCTTCAATTTGACAGCTTTCTTTGAGGGAAATGCATTTTTGCTAGTTTCCTTCCATTGGATTACTAATCTGGGGGGCATTCTATGTAATTCACTAAGAACACGTTCTGCAAATGTATCCTCCATCAGAATCAGACATCAGTCTGCACGTGCTGCATTTTCCATTTCCACAGCCTGCAGATTAAACCGTTTGCCAAAACCGGGTTCATTTCGAGGAAATGGAGGCAGCTTCTCTGCACCTGGAGCATTTGCTTCCTGCTTCATGCGAGGCCAGTCCACTTGGAGAGCCCTGCTCGGGCCCTTTGTGGTTTCTGATCCTGCTCTCCTTTGAAATTAGAGAATGGTTTTTCTCTTTTTTCCTTTTTTTCCCCTTCCACTCCCTTTTCTCATAGGGAGATATTAATATGTTTCATAATGGGTAGCTGTGGGGGGTTTTATGCTCTGAGAGGCAACATGGTGTGTTAGAATGTTCTGGAAGAGAAGTGTAAAGGGCCTCCTCTCCCCCTCTGTCATTAACTCCTCCATGACTTTGAAAATCCCCCTGTTCTGTGATGATCTCTTTCCAGCAATAGTGTGAGAGCCTATGCCTGGGATATCAATAGCCTTTAAAAATATATATGTTATAAACCAGAGTTGTCATTTTCCCCTCCTATTTAATGTTGTTTTTTTTTGTTAACAAATATTGATCATTTGTTAGCTTTCACCTTATAGAAAATTCTCCAGGAAAAATAAGCTTCTTTTCTTTCACAGAGAAGGATGAACACAAAAGAAATTCTATAAATAGGATGTTATAGAGTGGGAAAGTTTGTTTCTAAATTTCCCATGAGATGTCAGTAGTTGTTGAGAGAAAATGGGGATGATAATTTCAGATCTTTCTATACTTGGGCTCCTAATAAACTTGAATGATTTGTGATTATCTCCCATCATATGTGCCCAAATTCCTTTGATTCTGGGGAAAAAACAAAGAACAAAAAACATTTCTTCAAAGTGGTTCTACATCATGGAGGAAGGCTGGGAGCTGTCATTTGCTACTTCCCTGTATGTGCCAGGCACTGACCTAGTCCTTAAAATGGCTTTGAATGGTGAGTAGCCTTATCCTCATTGTACAAATAAGGAAAGAACCTCAGTGACCTGTTCAAGGTCACATAGCAAAGTCAAGATTCAAATTCATGTGCATTTGACTCAGAGCTCTTTTTTCTCATACACCTTTCCAGCCTATCCTTGCTTAAGAATTGTCCTGGCTTCCTTTGTTACCATATTTCTTGGACTTCTCTTCCACTGAAGAATTTATCCCTCCACTCCTTAGTCATTTGAGGAATTTCATCCCAGGGCATAAGGGGAAATGGTTCAAATGATTAAGAGCTACCAAGAATTCACATTTTTATCCCAGACTCTGAGATCACTTCCACCCTCTGAGAGTGGCGTCCAAGACGGATTCAGCCCTGCATCACTCACTGGGCTCAGAGTACCATCTATGCATAGTGAATACAAAATACATTCTCTATTGAGTGGATGGATAGATGAAAAATTCATTCTAAAGTCTTGACCCTCCAAACAAGGAGGCCCTCCCTGTTTGGGTCAATTGAGAATGTCTGGTGACTATAGGGACAAACATAGGAGACTCTGTCCCCAAGTGACCCTGGTTGACTTCCCCCAGCCCTATATCCCAAAGCTTCCCAATAGGTCTCTCTAGAGGCTCTGGCCTTATGGGGCCCCACCTGAGACTATGCCTTGAGTCCTGGGTTCTTCCTACGGCCCTGGGCTGGGTCATCTCCCAACTTCTCCCCAAAACTCCAGGGGAGGACTGGATGTGAATCCCCGCTGCATGATCTTGGGCAAGTCATGTTCCTTCTCTTAAGTCTCAGCTTACCTGTCATTGAAATGGGATTAAGAATACTTCCATCACAGGGTGTTTATAAAGATCCAGAGAGCCCATGGACAGGAAAGGGCCTGGCCTATGGATGGGTGCCCAAGAAATACCTACAGAATCAAAATTCTTTTAAAGTGTTTCCTGTCTCCTGCAGCCAGCATGGATCCCCCCTTCCCCTGTCTGGGCGCCCTGATGGAGCAACCAACTGTGTTTGCAGGCATCCCTAGGGAGGATGAGTTATTCTCTTTGGTAAATTACGGCTCCTGCTAAAGGTTTGACACTTCTATTTTCTACCTGTCAGAAAAAAATAGCTATATACCAGTGGTCAGTTTGGTTTCCCTTTTTATACTCCATCAGCCCACAGAGCAAGCCGGGCAGAGCTCCTGTCCCTGTCCTGTGGGGGAGCAGGTAGTCCAGAGGACACCGATATCATAATTAGGGGGACACGGTGGCCCTTCCTAATGAAGCTTTGAAAATGAGCAGTGCAGGTTGTCGGCACACCTTGGGAGAAGCTGGAGCATTGTCTGCAGTGGAACCCAATAGAGATAGCCATCTGGGTGACACGTGACGCGAAAAGCTCTCCGTCCGTTGACATGTTGTTACCGGGGCTCAATAACTGTGCGCTGATGTGTTTGAAGTCCGCCACCGGTGACTTGTGATTGACCTACGGAGCAGGAGCCCAGGAGGGAGCAGGATGTGAACTGATGGTCTGAGAAATACTAGTGGGGAAGACAGGAAGGAAGAGGGAGGGAGGGAGCGAGCAGGTGCGCTGGCATGTAAAGAACACCAGTCTCGTCTGGGCACCACGCCGGGCACACTCCCAGCCACCACTGGCAGGGGTGTGCATGGGTTTGGAGAGGGGTTTCGGGGTGCCCGAATCCTGCTTGCCTATCGGCCCCTCTCCTGTCGGGTTCCTAAGGGAGCTATTCACACAAGGGCTGATGACAAATGGGAAATCAAAGAACCACTTTATCATTAGCTGGGGCAGTGGATGAGGGCACGTTCGGAGAGTTGAAAGCAGCATTGAATGTAGTTCAGCCAAACAGACAGCAGGCCCAGAGGTCTAGCTTCAGGATTCCCAGGGCAAATCGAGCCTGTGTTGGGACTTGCTTCCCAGCACGACCCTGTTCAGGAAGGTGGTGCATCTGGACAAGCCAAGGGCTACCTTTAGTCCGGACAGAGAGCCCGGGCTCTCGTACCCAGACAGTCTGACTGGCGAGCGCCATTTCTCCAGAATGGACAGGGCCACTTGCTGAAAGTTCAGCCCCAAGCAGCCTCTGAAGTTCCCACTTTCTAGCTCTGGAAGAGGAAATGGGAAAGGGGCGAGAGATCGGGAGGAGAACCAACAACTGTGGGCCACCTGGGTGCCAGGCACCATGCTGGATCCTTGGCATGCACTGCCTCATCTCATCTTCACCCCCGCCACGTGGGCGGGTATTCTCTTCTTCTTAGGTATCAGCAAATAAAGGCACTGAAGGTTTGAGAAAACGCTCACAGCCGCAGAGCTAGAAAAAGCAGCAGAGCCAGCATTTCAATCCTAGTCTGTCTGATGCCCAAATCACGTTCTTTTCAGTGTGCCAGACTGCCTCCCCACATCTCCAGACCCCAAAAACACAAAAAAACAAGAAACAAAATGAAACAAAACCAAGAGGGGAGGAGGAGGATTGCAAACACGCCTCTGTGCTCAAACAGGGAGCTGATGTGGGACCGAAAACCTGGTTATCTTGGCCTCTCTGCACCGGAGGAAATAAACTAGGGGAACCTCTGAAACTCTGAGGCCAGCCCGTCCCCGCCCCTGCCATTTCCAGATGACTCCCCCAAAGTCAGCGTGGAGGGGTCCCGCAGCAGTGTGCCTCAGCCCATGCAAAGGGGTGTGGGCCAGGGGCGCTCATCTGCTCTGGGAGTCTCGGGCTCACCGTGGCTGTTCAGGGCCCATGTGAAATCTCGGGGGACAGATTTAGATGGGAGAAGTGCAGAAGCCTCAAGCCCCTGTCTGTAGGTTTGGGCCCAGGGACTCATCTGGTGAGCATTCCAGCGGGGAATCACTTCTGGATAACAGCAATATTTCTATCTCAACCAGTGACGTCGGTTGGGTCCGTTGGGACTCATCATGGGGTCCCCTGAGTATGCCATTGTCAGCCGACGGACACTGGTAAGAGAGCAGAGCACCCAGGTCCAGCTTTTCTTTCTCCTCCTAGAGACTAATGGATGTGGAGGTGAAGACATGCATAGGGTGTATTTCTGAAACATGGGATTCTCATTTCCCCCTCAGAGCAGGCAGAGACCTCCATTGGTAGGTGTTAGAACAGGCCAAAACACAGTGACTGCTTTATAAGGGAGGAGCCTCAGGCTCAGGAAGGGGACATGGACTCACCAGGGCCATCAGCTTCGAAGTGGCAGCGCCAGATTCAACACGAGACATGCCATGCTCAAGTCCTTGCTCTTTTCAGCCCTTTAGAATTGACCAAATGACAGAAACCCACCATGATCTAACCTTAACTTACATTTTCAGCCTTCTCTCCCACTGCCCCTGCCGTATGCCCGTCACTAGTTCCAGCTATGGGAAGGGAGGGCCTTCCAGGCAGGGGACCCAGCCCTGGCAAAGACGTGGAGGCAAACCAGAAGGGGGCATGCTCCATCTAGCAGTAATATGTCCCCTCCCGTCTTTGGCAGGAACTGCAAGCTCAGCAGCAGCAGCTTGTCCATGGCGGCTGTGGACATCCTCTATATTGACATCACAAGGAGGTGGAACTCCATGACCCTGGACCAGCGGGACTCAGGTAGGTACCTGATTCCTGGCCTCCACCATGTCTAGTGGGAGTCCAGATGGGTGGGCGGTACCCTTTTGGTTCCTTCTTGTTCAGGGTCAAGGTTGGGGAAAGAGGAGGTTATCCCGTCAGGTCTAGACATTGCTGGAAGGATTGAGCTGAATTTGAATCCAGGAGCACTATCCTGAATTCCACTACCAAGGCTGTGCCCCACCCCCCCAATTCGAGTTCCACCATTAGAATGTCTTGTTTCTGCTTAAGGCCGTTCACGTGTTCATCCCTCAGCACACATGTACTAGTGTGTGCTGGGCCAGGCCCTGGACAGATGGGAACGAGTAGCACTTGGCTCTCACTCGCTATAGAGCAGGGAGGCAGAGGAGAGCCCAGCACTGGCTTGGGGAGGGGTGCTGAGGGGTTATTGGGAGCCCAGCAGAGGAGCTCCTGTCGAGGGAGACCCAAGGAAGACTTCTTGGAGAAGGGTGAGTGGTGTCAGCCAGTGAACAGGGCAGCATGGACCCCTCCGGCAGGTGTGATCTGGCCGAGATATGGACACATGTGGAAGGCTTAGATAACCCCAAGAAGCTTGGAGGGGCTGGAGCAGGAAGGGAAGGGAGAAGGGGCAGAGATGGGGTTGCAAGAGCCATCGAGGCCTTGAATCCACATAAAAGAGTTTGCTCTTGATCCTCTAGATCAAGGGAGGGTGAAGGATTCCGTTAGGAGAATCCACCTTGGGGTGACTGTGTTTCTGATCTTCTTCCTCACACAGTGTGTTTTTCCAAAAAGGCATAGTAACCATACCTGACATTTGTATAGCTCATCATAAAATTACACCGTGCTTCCATGCATAGTCTTTCATTAAATGTCCCCATGAACCAGTGCACTAAGTATCAGTGTTTGCATTTCACAGATGGTAAGCTGTAGCTCGGGGGACCAGGCACCCAGGCTTCCCTCCCCTGGGCTGCCTCCATGCAAAAGGGACACCGGGCAGAGGGGGCACCTCAGGGAGCAGCTTTCTCCTGTGGTTTGGTGGAAAGGACAAGAAATCAGATTTTGGGAGAGCCAGATTACAATTGACTGTGCCATTTTCTCCCCGTGTAAGCTTGGAAGACCATTCTTCCTCCTGTCTCTACTTCCTCTTCCGTAAATGGGGCCAACAGTCCCTGCCCGCCAGGGGTGCTCGGCGGTCTCGGTGTCTGTGGATAGGAATGTGGAGCCCTTGCTGGTGGTACAAAGCAGCTCATCTTATTAGTGGGCGCTGCTTGGGGAGAATCCCGGGGGTGGGTCTGTGTGAGCGTGGGTTGCTCCCTGCCACATCCTGCCCCACACCCATGGGCTACAGCTTTTGACCGCAGAGATCATCACCTTTTAATAATGATGCTACCGGCTGCCAGTGGTTGGGCGAGTCCTTTGCATAAGCACTCTGCCAGGTGCTTCATGTGCACAGCCCTGGCCGGAATTCTGGAAGGAGGTAGAATCGCCTCATTTGCAGAGAGGAGGCTGAGGCTCAAGAGCATAGGTGGTGGGCACGGCCCACCCCCACTGTTTCCCTTCTGGGCTGCTTGATCCTACCAGTTGGTCCCAGAGTAGGTTGACCACCAAGCTCCCTACTGCTCTCCTTTCTTGAATTCAAAAGCAAAACTCAGGGAATACCAGTAGGCACTGAATCAACAAGGTGAGTTCCACCACGTCTCGGTGGGTGGAGCGCCCTCACAGCCTTCCCTGGCAACCAGGAGAGGCTTGAGATGGAGCGTCTTCAGAATCAGGCAGATTAATGATCATCCCGAGGACGGAGAGCGCTCACATGACAGTTGAGCGGGGCGCTTTTTGCTGACGCCTTCAGAAAGTGAAGAAGTGTTTGCTCTGTGAGTTGAACGCAGGGAGTCACCGCAGGATCCTGTGGAGGGGGCCAGAAGAGGGGGTGGGGGTGGCAGTGGAATTATTAAATATTGAAATTGATCAGGAATAGCAGCAGGAAGCTATTTATCATGTTTTATTGCTTCAAACTAGCATTACCATCTGGCCCATTGTTAATTCTGAATAGCTTTTCATGTTTTGTTTGCCTCTTAAATTGCTCTCTGTAAGCGGAATCCACAGGGGCTGTCCACAGCACAGGCTCGGGTGAGGTTTTCTGGGGTCTGCCAGGATCTCTCCGTTCTGCTGACCAAGCTAAAGAGATGAGAATAATACTTATTTTTAGCACCTACTGACGGGCGAATCTGGGGCTGGGATCTCCCAGGCCTGTTGCCATGCCTCGGTAATCAATCCTTAGCAGTGACTGTGATTTCGAGATTCCCTCCCCTGTGCATTATCTCCTTGCAGTTCCCACACCAGACCTTCAAGGTGGGTAATTGTATCCCATTTTACAGATGAGCATCCTGAGGTTCCACGAGCAAGTGACTTGTCTAAAATCCCACAACCAGGGAGTAGCAGAGCCCCCATTTGAAGTCAAGCCTCCTGCCTCCTGGCCCAGGATGCTGTCCCCCATCCAGGGCCCCCCCCAAGCAGTGGTGTTCATTTGAATGACTGGGGAGGGGGCGGGGCTCATGAGGCAGGGAGGTGAAAGGTCAACTCATAGAGTGCAGGGCCTCTGGGAAGATGGAACTGGAGTGGGAGGTTAGTTGCCGGCGTGAGCTCCTGTCTCCCCTGACGTCATCCTCAGAGCTTTAACTCCTGTTTCCATGGCTCCTGAAAGGAAATCACAGACTCGGGGGTGGGGGGGTACAGATAGTGGGGACTGGGCATTACAGCCGGGGATGAGAAGCCTGTCTGTGCCCACAGTCTCAGGGGTCACTGCTGTCTGGCTGCTGGCAAAGCTGGGGCCCAGTCCTTGCTTCCGGAGAAGGCTGGTCTGACACCCTGATTCTTGAGGAGAAGGAGCTTCTGAAGTCAGCCGCATTCTTAGGAGCATTCGAAGCTCCGGAATAGCACGAGAAGACATTTGTTGTTGAGTGGTCGTTCTGCCTTTGGGCAAGTGTCAGCAGAAAGACCAGAGAGTCCTCCTTCCTTCCCCCCATGGTGCTGAGCCAAAGGATTCTCCTGTCCTCCGTTACAACTAAGTCCTGGCCAGAGGTGTGGAAGCCAGGTCAGAGGGGGCAGCTTTACCTGTCCTGGAGCTGCCGTGGGGCTGACAGGAAAGTGGGTCAGAACAGTGGTATAACTGGGTTCTCATCCTCAAAGGGCACTCATTCACCAAACAGATAATGAACATGTTAGCAGGTATTGGGCTGCTGGGAATATAAATTATTTACAGATCCCACTCTTTTTTGTCTGTTTGTTTTTCTTTTAAATTTTTTATTGTTATGTTAATCACCATACGTTACATCATTAGTTTTGGATGTAGTGTTCCATGATTCATTGTGTGTGCAAAACACCCAGTGCTCCACGCAGAACGTGCCCTACAGATCCCACTCTTGAGAAAAAAAGTAATAGAGACCATTTACTGAACATTTACTATGTGACAGAAATACAAAATGCTTGTTATGAATTATCCCACACAGCCCTGTGAGATAAGAGTTTTTCTCCCATTTGACAGATGAGAAGCCCGAGGCTTCAAGAGGTGAATTTAAACAGGTGTGCCAAGTATGTCAGTGGAGACCCTGGGATTTGAACCAAAAGCAGTCTGCATTCAGAGTCCTTTGCCTTTTCATTACAACCAGTGTCTCCCGCCACACAAATGAAAAGGACACGCAGTTGACAGTTGTCACAGGGTATGGCCAGAGCCCCAGTCAGGGAAGCAACAAAGTGGGGGTGCTGTGAAGATAAGAAAAAGAACATATACAAAGCCTTAGCATGGTGTGCAACCCAGAAAAGGCACTCTCTACGAGTTCTGTATCGCTGAAGGCTAGCACGGGGCCCAGAGCATGCAACAGCATCATGCTCAGTGCCCAGTGAATGTTTGATGAGCAGACAAATAGCAATAAAAAACTGTCCTGCATCCCCAAAATAGGGTGTTCGGAGTGTGAGAGCCATGACTTATAGTAGAGCTGGTCTCACCAACAGAGTCTCCCTTCTCTCTCTGTAACATCTGGCAGAAAACACCAGCCCGTTTGGCTAAGAGCATCACCCCACACCCAGCACCAGCTGTGTCCAACTGCTCGGGCAAGGTCTCCTTTCTGGAAGCGAGCCCAGACCGCCCTTCTGCCCTCGTGAGACTTCGGCACCCACCAAAGGGGTTAACCCGATTCCTGATATCTGAGACCTTAATGAACCCTTTATGTAACCTGCATGGGGAGACCCTACTATTGAAATGGAAGAAGAAAAATGGTGTTTAGAAAGATTAGTGAGAAAAAAAAATCAAAACTAGTATTTAAAAAAAAAAAGAATGCACATCATGAAATCTAAATCTCAGACCATCCTTTTATTTATTTATTTATTTATTTATTTATTTATTTTTAAGATTTTATTTATTTGACAGAGAGAGACACAGCGAGAGAGGGAATACAGCAGGGGGAGTGGGAGAGGGAGAAGCAGGGTCTCCAGACTGTGAGATCATGACCTGAGCCGAAGGCAGACGCTTAACAACTGAGCCACCCAGGCGCCACTCAGACCATCCTTTTAAACAGCCTTGTTTTCGATGCTTTGGTTTTTTCTCCCGGAGCTCAAGTGCATAGAATTGGATTAAACATAATCCTTGGTTCATGAGAGCCTTCCATCCTGGTCCATGCATAACCTGCTTTTATTTTGTCAGCTTTTTAAATTAGTAATTTTTAATAATGTAATAAGCATCCACGACTCACCACCCAAAACAAATGCTAGGACTTAACAATAACCCACATCCAGCACATGGCTCTCCCCCAACACCAGCCCATTCCCCGCCTCTTTCCACACACAGAACCCTCATCTGGATCCTGTGTTCATCAGTCCCTAGATAGTCTTGTGCTTCCTCTCTGTTGGAATGTCAACGACTACTTAGGAGCTTGATGGAATTTAGTAAAATGCAATCTCACTCTCCCGGGCCGGCCAGTGTAATCGGCACTAAAATAAATACATACATACATACATACATAAAGATT